GGTGAGAAGCTTAGGGAGCAGTCTCTGGCAAAAAGGAACATTTTAATAACTAGTCATGGTTTATTATTTGCCCCCATAAATGTATGTTTCAGGCTTGATACAAAGTTGTTGAACATTTTTAGCTTCTGGAATGGCAATTAGCATTAGCATTAGCATTAGCAAACATTAGCAATGGTTATGGTTGGGTACTTCTGTAAGGAAGGGAAATGCTTAGCTGCCTAACTTGAGGGTTCAAGGAGTGGAAATTGCCAGTTCTACAAGTGTCTCCTGCACTTTGAAGGACCATAGCCTGATGAAGGACCATAGCCTGAATGCTGCCCACCTTGGGATGCTTTGCTGCCTTGGCTGTTTCTTGGACAGTCTTTTCTGCTCATTACATCTTGCTGAATAGTGTAACTGTTGTTGGCCAGCCCCCAGTATGAGGATTGGGATAACTGTTCGTTCATTAGCTGGATAGTGCTTAACTGGATCTGAAACTTCTTTTTTTCACCTTTTTCATTCTTTTCTCAACAAACTGGCAGGCTTCCCTAGTTCATGCCATCTCTTTGCAACTACATATTTGCCTTCTGGAGTACTGTTTTGGGTTAAATTGTCAAGGTTTCATAATTCTTTAGACCCAAAGAGAAAATAGTATTTCAGTAGACAGGCATCTCAAACCTCTTTTGAGACACACATGCCAAGCTGCATTCTTGGAGGAGGCTGGATGCAATCCACCTCTGAGAAAGAAAATACTAAGTTCTTGTGAGGATGCTTCAGGTTCTGTGTTGATGATTCAGATCTGTTGCTGTCACAGGATTGTTTCCTGAACACAGCATGGTATAACCAAAAAGGTGAGAGAATGTGGGGAGCTGGCTTGCTGGCTGCTTGATCCAGATGTTCCTGTGGATTTGTTAACCCTGACTCCTTACCAGGGATCTGGTCACTTTGCCCAAACGGGAATGGCAGTGGGGGAGGTTAGAGATGCATTTTAATGAAGTTCTGCAATAACTTTTTCAAACTAACTTTGCTTTCTAGAGCTGCACTGGACCGAGCTACTGTGTTGCTGAGCATGACCAAGGGTGGAAAGCGTATAGACAGCGTGTGGGGGTCAGGAGGTGGGCAGCAGTCTGTGAAACACCTGGTTAAAGAGGTAACTGCTTCTACAAAACTCTTCTTTCTGGAATTTGCTGTCTGTCTAAGCCTCTCTTGTTTGGAATGAAGACATGAAGCATAGCCTGTAGCAAAATGATGTCTTGAGTGTTGAGTTAGGGTTGGTTTGGGTTTTTTTTTTTTTGAAGATTTGTTATTTATTTATATAAAATAGTTTTTAAAACCTGCTGCAGGCCATTAAGTTGATTTTGTAATGTTCATCAGTGGTGGGAACATGCTGGTACAATTGCAAGTATACACTTATTTTTGCTTTAAGCAAAACTTTTAAGCACTTAGCTTTTTAAGAGCTTTTAATATAAAATGGTGAAATAATTAGAAGAGACAGGATGAAACTGGCTAAACTTGATAGACTATTATTATTATTTGGCATCATGGATTAAAAGCACAGTAATAAATGAAAAAGAGAGAGGAAGAAACAGGAATGCGTAGAGATCCATGCTACGAAATAGGCAGGTTTAAAGGAAAAGGTTGTGTTACAGTTTCTGGGTTGTGAGTGTAACAGATGATAGGAGGAGGAGTTCAGGGGAAAAGATAAACTTAATTGCTCCCATATTAACCTTTTATGGTGACATGCATCTTATAAAGCAATGTTTCTGGTGCTTGTATGTCTGTATTAACACTATGGATCGGTATTTTGCTTACACCGTGTTTCAGGTTGCTGATAATGTCTCAATTAACATAGGAATTTAATCACACTTGTAAAAACACTAGCAGCAAGTTTCAGGCACTGACCTGCTGCTGGGCTGGTTATAGAGTATCAGAACAGTTGACAGCTTTTACATTTTACATCTACTTGGTGTTGGTTGTTATGTTTGTTTTAAAATCCAATAGATTGATATGTTGCTGAAAGAGTATCTGCTTTCTGGAGATGTATTGGAAGCTGAACGTTGCCTTCAGGAACTGGAAGTACCCCATTTTCACCATGAACTTGTATATGAAGTAAGGAGAGATCAAGAGTCTCTTTAATTGTCTGTAATATGAACAGGCTTGGTTTTGTTTGGATTTGGGGATGCAAATATTCTAACTGGAATCTGAAGCTCAGGTTGCTTGTTCTGATGTTATTTGAATAATTAAATAGCTTAATGTAAAGTTAATGGTTTGTGTACGTGTTTGTTGTACACATTGTGCAACAGTTAAGCTGCTGCTGACTCTGGGAACATCCAAAATTATTTGTTGGGTAAATAGTTGAATTCAGATTATTACAGATTCCTAAAAAAGAAGAGATTTTATTTTCTGCTGAGGAGCAGCAGCAAAATCCCCCATTGTTTTGGTGTCTGTTTCCTTTTAGTTTTGGATAACTGGGTATTCACCTGCTTGTGTTAAGTTGCCTTTTTAGGGTGGGATTGTTCCATCTAGTACATTTGTAAAAGCTCCAAGATATTTCAGAACCAGACTGTAAGAGAGAAAGATCTTTGCTATATCTGGGAGATGTTCCCATTTGTACTCTTTTATCTGCCAAATTAGGAGATGGTTGTTTACCAGGAAAGCTGAACACCCACAACCTACAATTTTATTTCCTTTTTTTGGTACATTGACTTGTTTTTAGAAAACTCCTTCCCAGTAGAAACCCAGAATCTTTTTAGTTGATGGGGTTGTGCAGATCTGTAAGTTTAAAAGTTCTTTAAAATCACAGATACAAAAAGAATCATAGATACAAAATTAATTTCATAGAATTAATTGCCATCTGTACTGCAGCAGCCAGATGGGTATAGTCGTGGATCTGTCAGTGCAGAGCCAGAAAGGCAGTGCTTTTCTTTCTCTCTAGTTCTTTCTGTTTTTTTTTTCATGCCTTTTATCTTTATCCAAATCACTTTTCATCAGTTTTCCTTTTCAAATAATAATACACTGAAATTGTGAGTGTGTGGAACAACTGGGCTTGTCTCCCCAGAAAACATAACAACATACTCCTTTTTGCACCTTGTATGCTGTACACAACATGTACTTGAACCACTCCTTTCTTTTAGTTAACACTTGCATTGTTTGTTTTAGGCCATTGTAATGGTTTTGGAGTCAACTGGGGAAAAGACCTTTAAAATGATACTGGATTTGCTGAAATCTCTCTGGAAATCTTCTTTCATTACTGTGGACCAAATGAAAAGAGTAAGTGTAGCGTTTAGGGAATTTTGTGTAAAGTCTTCCAATATTTTGTATAGCTTTTACCTTCTTTAAAGTACGGTTTGTGGTTGACTGCCACTTTTAAATGCTCCATGGTTGTTCTGTATCCCACAGAAATAATCTGTCATTGGTACATGTACAATACTTGCCCTGTACTGGAAAAATTAGGAATTAATTCCAAGCAGCAGTTCTCTAGAGCTGTGTCCTGGGTTCAGCAGTAGCAGTCATTTTTTCTCCTTCTTAGTAGCTGGTGCAGTGCTGTGTTTTTGGCTTTCGGCCTGGGAACAGCGCTGATAACACCGATGTTTTTAGTTACTGCTGAAGTGTTTAGTCTGACCAAGGACTTTCTAAGTCTCATGCTCTGCCAGGGAGGAGGGGAAGCTGGGAGGAAGCAAAGACAGGACACCTGACCCAAACTGACCAAAGAGGTATTCCATACCACAGCATGTCATGCCCAGGATGTAAACTGGGGGAGTTACCCAGAAGGGAGAGCTCACTGCTGGGTCAGCCTGGGTATTATTGATCAGCGGGTGGTATTGTATCTTCCCTTGTTACTTCCTTTATCATCATTATTGTTGGTAGCAGTAGTGATTTGTGTTATACCTTAGTTACTAAATTGTTCTTATCTCAACCCCTGGGAGCTACATTCTTCCGATTCTCCTTCCCATCCCTCCAGGAGCAGGGGGAAGAAAGGGGCGGGGGGAGTGGACTACATGGTTCTGATTTACAGCCTGGGCTTAAACCACAACAAACTGTAAGATGCAGAATACTGGAATCTTCAGTCAAAGATTTTTTAAGTGCTTTTATGCAATTAAATGGTTATAACCAGTAATTTTACATGCTGTAGTATTTTGTAGTAAAATGCTTAATCTTAAATACAATTTTCCCTTTTATCCAGCAGTTCTTTGTAATTACAGTAGTTCAGTGAGGACCCACTTAATTCCAACGTCAACTAGAACAGTGTGTGTATATATACATATATACACACTTGGAATTCTAGGTATGAATACAGGACAGCAGTCCTGTCCCAGAGCAAACCAGGTACTACGCAGGCTTGTGTCAGAATTTACCCAGCCACACTGCGAAGGGAAGTGATAAACTCAGCTCTGGTTGTCACAAGTGTTTTCCTCACTGCATAAACTGTGGTGCTGGAGATTTGTGGCCACATTGTCTTTATTTACATGGAAGAAAGGTGAAGTTGTCTTCCTTATGTTACTACTCATGCAGCAGTGGCCAGGCTAACATACCCATTCTGTACTGTCTGGATTTCTGACTTGTAAAGACAATAAAAGTTCAGCTAGGTGGCTGTGCAGTATCATGGTATTCCACTGACTTGCAGCTGCTCTGATTTAGGCTGCTTGAAACTGTCCATGGACCTATACTGAAAAATCCGAGAATGCCAAAGGGTATTTGTGTAATCAAATCCTGGAATAACCAGGTGATTGTTTGAATTCTTACATTGCAGGGCTATGAACGAGTTTACTGTGAAATCCCAGATATCAACCTGGATGTGCCACACTCCTATTCTGTGCTTGAGAGGTTTGTAGAGGAATGCTTTCAGGCTGGAATAATCCCCAAACCACTGAGAGACCTCTGTCCTTCAAGGTACTTGTTTTACTGTAGATGGGTGAAGGCACTGCTTTTTGTCCCCACTGTAGGTAACAGAAAGCAGGGTCTTATGATCAAAGTATTACAGATTGATACTGGAAACTATGGAAGACAGAGACCCAGAGGGCTGGACTGGTAAAAAGTTTATTAAGGTGTTATGGTTATCCTGTTATGGGATAAATAGTTGAGGAAAATAAGCCTCCAATGAGTCTGTTGCAGGCCTGTGTGCTCTCCAGAGGATGAACGCCTGCTTCTCCTCTGTTCTGCTGATCTGCTTGCTAGGGATCAGTGCAGTACTGAGATGGAAGCTTCAGGTGTCACAACGATCCATGTTGGTGACAGTGAAAAACTGTGAGCTATAGTGGGGAAAGGAAATAATTAAAAATGGCTTAAAAATTTGTTTAAACTTGCCAAACAGCATGAGTAGAGTTTTAAGACAAGACCATTAATAATGTTTACGTCAAAGGTATAGAACACTTAATTTGGAAAAAGCTGTACACACTTGATGCCTTCCTATCTCTCCTGTGGTTTGCACAGTGCTTCTGGTTTTGTCGTTTTCGTATCTGTAGTATAAACAACGCTGTTTGAAGTGTAACTGATCAGTATTCTGTTCCCTCCTTACTGGTCACAAACCCCTTCTGAGTTTCATTTCATGTAGGGAATACACGCAAATTTTAAAATATGATGTTAAATCTATTACTCAAAATTTTATGCATCGAATACTATTTATTAGATCTTTTCCTATTTGGATGTTTTGTTGGGCTTGTTAAACTATCCTGACAGTTTGAGGTAACTTCAGATTTTGAAATGTTGGCGTCTTTACCCAAACCAGCCTTCATTTGTGGACTTCAGGCTGAAAACTGAGTTTATGAGTATTTTGGTACTGAATGTTTTGCAGGTTTGGGCTGTGGTAGGGTTGAAAGTCAGCATTGCAACAAAAGCTTCATTGTATTTGTTACCAGTAATGCACTGGGGGGGGCATTTCTTGCTTATGTACTTCAGTTTTGGGTAGAAACTCACCATTCTCAGACTTTCAAACTTAGCATCTTTTGCAAGTGTCAACATTCAGAGGTGAGCAAAGTAGAAAGCACTTGACAATAGAAATTAAAGCAAGAAGCTGGTTAAAACAAGCTGGCTGCAAGATTCAGATGGATTTTAAGCAATTTATCAGTGATTAGGAATGTTAGCTAATATTGCTGGATGAGCATGTCTTTCATTTGATGGCCTTCATCCAGGACTGTAGTGATAGGACAAGGGGAACTGGGTTCAAAGTGAAAAAGGGGAAGTTCAGGTTAGATACAAGCAGGAAGTTCTTTACTGTGATGGTGGTGAGGCACTGGAATGGGTTGCTCAAGAAGCTGTGAATGCTCCATCCCTGGCAGCGTTTAAAGCCAGGTTGGACAGAGCCTTGGGTGACATGGTCTAGTGTGAGTCGTCCCTGCCCATAGCAGGTGGGTTGGAACTGGATGATCTTAAGGTCCTTTCCAACCCAGATCATTCTGTGATTCTGTGACCAGGAGAAGATTCTTAGATAATTGTGATAAGAACAAAGCAGCAATGCTACTGTGAACTAAAACTATACTTTCTCCTTTCTTGCAGGGGCAGAAAGCGTTTTGTGAGCGAAGGAGACGGAGGTCGTCTTAAGCTGGAGAGCTACTGAATGTGAGAACCAGCTCCTGAAGCCTTAAATGTTGAAAGGGAAATAGGTATCTATATATATATATGCAAACACGCATGCTTTTCTGGTGTGTGTATGTATATATGTATACACATATATAATGTACCAAATTTAAGAGTTGCTTAGCACAGTTCATATTTTTTTAAAAGCACATGTTTTGGGTACAATCTTTTCTTTTCCTCAATAGTTTTATAAATTTCAGAAAGAAAAGAATTTCTTTCTTTGGGCATCTGGTAGAACAACTGGCCACTGCTGTGGTGGTGCCTTCCAATAAGCTATCGTTTCAAGTGCCATATGTGTATGACCTGATCATTCCACATCCGCATCCATGTCTGACTGCAGCTCTTTCTTTCAAGGACAATGTTGTCATCATAAATCACCATTTATACAAAGCTTTATAGAAGGGTCAAGTTAAGCTGCTGTGATCCCATTTCCATTGCTGCTGAAGAGATACTGTGCTTTGGGAGAAAAAAAAGCTGTTTCTTTGTTTTAAGAAAATGGAGTTGGGTCATAAGAGTAATGCATCTGTTCCAGGGGAGAACACTGGTTGGTTTTAGCCCCTGTGTACCAAACTTGTCTTTTTTGTTGTCTTTTTTTCTATGTAACTGGAAAAGTGAAAAGTTCTGGTAAAACATATTAAAAATATTTTTTGTGATGCTGCTTTTCCTGCCTCCTTTGATTTTTCAAAACAGAACAAATCTAACCCTGTAAGTTCTGAAGTGGGTGAAGTCAGCTGTACATCGAACTGTGCCCTTTTCTATGACAATCTGCAGCAAAGCACCAACTAACTGAACTCATGGAAAGTATTTACCAAGTATGGTGTTGAGAACAAGTGCCTGGGGTAGGAGCAGCCAGGCTGGTGCAGTGGAGATGCTCTGGTGTGTGTGTATTGCCTATGTGCCTCTGCCCAGCCCCTGCTCAAGAACAAGACCGAGCCAAGGAAGACTTTACATCGACAGCACAGAGCCCCTCCTGCTCCCTTTCATGTTTCACGTTGGTGCCACAACTCCGGGTGCCTGGCAACACCGGCACCTGCCGTGGCAGGGCCGGGGAGACCGTGTCGCCGCTCCCAAGCCAGCCCGGTAAGCCATTACCGGAGCCATGGGGTCGTGTAACGGGCCTCCCTCTCCACCTTATCTGCCCGGGCCTAGCACTGCGCCTGCTGTGGTTATGATGCCCGTCGAAGCTGGCGAGCCCAGAGATGCGTTTAAAACGTTGCTTAGAAAGCGGTAAGTGAAACTTCCACAGGAGGAACGCCAGGCCACGGATCGCCACCTCCCGCCTCCCCGCTCCAGCAGCACCCTTCACTCAGGGCCAGCCTTTAATCCGCGAGTGCGTTACAAGCGGGTACCTCCGAGTCACGGACACCGCAGGGCACCGGCCCCCTCTTCGGGGCCTGGGCTACGGTTGGGGCTGGGGCTGAGGCTGCGGTGCCTCCTCAGCCTGCCGCGCCGCCGCCTCCAGTGCCGCCCGCTGCAGCGCCTCCAGCTTCTCCAGCGACACCGACTTGAGCGGCAGCACCTTGGGCTTGCACAGCACCATGGATGCCGTGTCCTCCACCGACAGCTGCCCTGCGAGGGAAGAGAAGGGCCGGGGGTGAGCGCCGGGGTCGGGCAGGCTGCGGGGACCCTCCCGCCCGCTGCACGTACCTTGCTTGGGCAGCACCTCCTGGAACGCTGCCTTCCCCTCCGGCATGGCGGCTCCGTCTGCGCATGCGCACTTCTGTGGAGGGGAGAACTACAGCTCCCGGCATGCGCTGCGTGGTAACCCTGCGGTCAGACCGCCTACGGTTCCTCAGTGCATGCTGGGAGCTGTAGTCTTGGGGCGGGTCCTGGCTGCCATCCCCGCACCACCCATCGCAGGGACGGGCAGGCAGCGGGACGCGGAGCACGGCTGACCCGGGGCGGGGGCGCGGCGCGGTGCGGCCGGGCCGGGTCGAGCACAGGCTCCCGCCGCGCCGGGGCTCCTCGGTGGAGCGCCGTGCTCCGGCCTGCGCGGGCCTGCCCGCTCCCGCTGCCTGCCGCTGCCTCCCCTCCCCGCCGGGCCTGCGCCTCAGAGCAGACACCGTCCAACGACCGGCTGGGCCAGGGCGTGCGGGTTCTGGTTTGCGTTGCGAGGCAGCACCTGAGGATATGAGGCGTGAATCGTCTTGCTGTTCAGCATGTAAACAGTAGTAAAAGCCGGTGTTTTTCAAACACTGGCGGGTTTAAATGTCGCCGAACCTGCTCAGCCAGTGCACCTGAGATCACCTCCACCGGCACCGGCCTCGCCTTGGGGGTCATTTGGTGGCGGTAGCAGCTTCCCTCAGAATAACCCGCCTGGGGTCGGTCACTATCTGTGCACAGCACCCGGTCGTGCTGTAGTTTCAGATGTTGCTGATGCCCTGCACACATTGTCTGCCTTGTGCCCTTTGCCTCAGAACTGGCAGTGAAGGTTCATAATCCTGCTAATGCTGTGGCAATTCCTTACTTGTTGCAAGGTTGAGAGCTTCCTTCTTACTATTGCGCTGCGACTGGTTGTGGTTGGATAAAATGAGGGAGACTGTGACTGTTGATGATCAATGACAGTGGTTTTGCTCTCTCGGGCACTACCACGCTATGGACCCCCCAGCTACGGGATCCAAGCCTGCGGTTTGCCAGGAGACCTGTGGTAAAACTCCCAGCTTCCAGTAAGCGGCACCTCTCTGATAGTTATTTAAAGCATCCTCCTGCATTGTTCCAGAACTATTTCCTTTTTCCTCTGAGGGAAACCTAGGGTAGGAAACTGACAGTCCCTCAGGTAGCCCGCTTCCACCTCACTCCAAGTCTTGCCTGCCTGTTGGGTTGGAGGCCAGCAGAGAACCTGTGGAGGGTAGAAGCACACATCTCCTGTGTCCTGTGTGCTGTGTGGTCAGCAAGGACACTTGTGCTTCGGGCCACTTTGTTGTGATTTACATGTTCTACTTTCAGGTCAGGAGGTTGGCACTGATGAGGCCGTAAAATGGATGTCATTGCTGGGAACAGCCTTCTCTACCCTTTGAAGTGCATAGGAACGTTCCCACTGATTTCAGTGGGAAAAGCTCTTTTGTCTGGCATGCTAGTCTGTCTGCCAATTAGTATTTCATACTGATTGGAAGGGAAAAGGCTACGGACTGATTTGTGAACACTGTGGATGTTTGCTTGTAAACAGTGCGTGCAAATTGAAAATCAGTTATTTGGCAGTTGTTTCTTTGTTTGATCCAGCATCTTATATATGGCCGTGCCCAAAAATGAACATAAAAGCCAGTTATGACTGAAAATCTTGCACTATGCCACTAACAGTTATTCCTGTGTTAACAAGTATGGCTTGCAGAGCAACAGAAGGTGGACTGAAAGCAAGGCATTGAAATCAAATTGTAGGCAAGGGTTTTTGACAGCGTCCTGATGACCACCAGGAGTCCAGCATCATATGAGAATTGGTGTCTATAGCAGCCAGAGCCCATCGCAGTCATGCAAGGAATCACCTTCCAAGCAGAGTTTTCCTGCCGATGGAGTTTGTTTACATGGGGATGAGAAACAATGGTCAACTCAGTTTGTTACTTGAGCATTTCACTGGTGGAGAAGTGGAATCTGGCATTGTGTGCTGAATCCATTTTCTTAGCTAGGCAAATGCCAACTTGGCAGCCTGTCTGGAAAGCTGATAGCACTGGGACAGGTGTGATTGTGGAGATTGGTTTTGACAGGCTCTAGTAAGTCTGCTTTTAAGACGCCTCTTTCCATTGGGGAAAGAAAGCACAGTCACTACATTCAGGACTGGAGGGACTGGATGAGAGAGAGGAGAGAGGCAACGGCATTGTCTGCAGCTTCATACCCTTAAAGACAGGAATGGTTTAGCTTTGAGTAAGGCTGGCATTTATTCACTAGGGTGGTGCTAGCTATAGTTAAGAGGAGGGGAAGGTGTAGCATTGAGGACCTAATTCCCCTTCCTAAAGCCCTGAGACTTCAACTTTAGATAAACCCTGGTGTTACTTGGCAAAGCATGAGAGCGGTACCCACAGAGAGGACCATGTGCTCTAGGTTGTATATCCTTATTTTACTGAAGTCATAAACAAGTTATTCTTGTACACTGCAGAAAGCCTCGCAACCACAAACCCAGCAATAACTTCATAAATGATAAGCTTGTTTTCCTCCCCCTCTTCCCAGATACCCCGAGTGCAGCAGACAGCAGAGATGTGCATTGCTGGAATCCAGAGAGTTTCATAACGTGGCAGCCGCTTGCTGAAAGCCCTGCAGATACAAAACAACGCTTACTTTAAGTCTTGGGAAACAGCTCCTACTAAGTAGAAGAAAAAAGCATGTAGGTGAAGCAATGTTGCCTGTCCCAGTTGTTTATGAGGCTTGGGTTCTGTCTTTATATATTTTAAATGCTTTTTATTTTCATTCTGCTTTTTGAGCCTTTCAAGTGCATGTTTTCCATTTCTTTTCCATCTGAGACGAAAGTCTGGAATCCAGTCCTTGCTTTAAAAACAAAAATCTGGTTCAGAGTTCTGTATAATCATGTAGCTCCAGACATGGGGTGTTTAAAAATAAAGCCACTTTCATGAGAATCACCCATCTTGAAGGTGACTTTCTGTTCTGAGTTTAAGTAAATACTTTGTTGGCAGTTTAAGAAGTTTTTAACAACATCTGATCTGCATTTGCTTTCCAGGCAGATCTCTCTCTTTTTCCTTCTTTTCTAAAAATCCAGAGCTTGTTTCATGTCTGTATGTGCTGATGTGGTCAGAAATGTAGTGTACCAGCATGCCTGTGACGTGCGTTGAATAATGCATACCAGTGCTTTAAAAAATACACATGCAGGTTGCATGCAATTGTCCCCTCAAGCTGCTCAGTGGTACCATGAGATACAGAGCCCATCTTCTGTGGAGACAGGAGGAGGAGGTGGTTTGTGTTTACTGGGTGGGGTAAATCGGAGAACAGAAAGCCTGAGGGAATCCCAAATGCCTTCAAGGCCTGAAGCTTAACATCCTGATGTTTAACCCAGTCCTCCTTTTGGAAAGGAATTGACAGATGAGTGATTTCTTTTAGATGAGCTTTCCGAATCTATTTATTTTAGATCTGTTGTTTGATGCATTGGTGTCTTCAAGCTGTGCGCACAAGGCAAGAAGGAGACGTCCTTACTCAGTGTGGAGATTTATCTTTCACTGCTACATACGTAAAAGTGCCTGGAAATGTATTATCCAAGGGACACAGAAATAGCTTTTTGACAGGCTGCTCTATCTCCAGCAGTAATGCCCGGTAAATGCAGAGACCTGGCTGCCTGGCTCATTGCTAAGTGTCAGTCCCGCTCTGGGCTCCCACGCCAGATGCTCTATGCTGGCATTTCCAGGGGGTTACTGCTCTACTTGTGTGGTTTGAATCGCTGAAGTCTTTGGCCTTGTGCCTTAAAGTGCCAGCAGAGGCATGCTGTAATTGCCCGTAAATGCACCGTCTGTCATATTACTGTTTCATTACTCCAGCTTCTCACCGCCGCACGCTGCTCAGTGTCTCTCTTGCTATCTTTATTTAATTGAGCAGAAAAAATCTGAGACTTGTGCTTCACTTACGTCACTTTGTATTTACCCAGCATCACTGGATCCTACTATGAAGTCCCAGCTTTTGTTTGCAGAAGTCAGTCTTCTGTATAGAAAAGATAAGGTCAATATCTAAAGCATATGTTAGAAAGAGAATCAATATTTTAACACATGGTAAAGTCAGATCATAAATCTCTCAACACAGTCAAATGATTGTATTATTCGCCCTTGAAACACCGCTCCTCCCTCTGGGAAACAAGAGGGGGAAAGAAAACTCTTGAATAACCAAGCCCTTGTCCTCACAATGAAGGACTGTTCTGAGCTCCTCGCTCTGTGTCGCTTCTTTCTTTTCTGTCTCCTAACTCTTTCTTCTGTTGTGTGTCAGACGCCTGCCTCTTAGAGACCTGTCTATCCCTATCCCATCCCTGTTAATCTTTTTCAGAGTATAACTGGGATGGAGCCAGTCTCTCCCTATCCCATCACTGTTCATATTGTTCAGGGGATTACTGGAATCATAGAATCATAGAATCATGGAATAGTTAGGGTCGGAAAGGACCTTAAGATCATCAAGTTCCAACCCCCCTGCCATGGGCAGGGACACCTCCCACTAAACCATGTCACCCAAGGCTCTGTCCAGCCTGGCCGTGAACACTGCCAGGGATGGAGCATTCACGACTTCCCTGGGCAACCCATTCCAGTGCCTTACCACCCTAACAGGAAAGAATTTCCTCCTTATATCCAGTCTAAACTTCCCTTGTTTAAGTTTTAACCTGTTACCCCTTGTCCTGTCACTACAGTCCCTAATGAAGAGTCCCTCCCCAGCATCCCTATAGGCCCCCTTCAGATACTGGAAGGCTGCTATGAGGTCTCCACACAGCCTTCTCTTCTCCAGGCTGAACAGCCCCGACTTTCTCAGCCTATCTTCATATGGGAGGTGCTCCAGTCCCCTGATTATCCTTGTGGCCTCCTCTGGACTTGTTCCAACAGTTCCATGTCCTTTTTATGTTGAGGACACCAGAACTGCACACAATACTCCAGGTGAGGTCTCACGAGAGCAGAGTAGAGGGGCAAGATCACCACCTTTGACCTGCTGGTCATGCTCCTTTTGATGCAGCCCAGGATATGGTTGGCTTTCTGGGCTGCAAGTGCACACTGAAGCCGGCTCATGTTCATTTTCTCATCGACCAGCACCCCCAAGTCCTTCTCTGCAGGGCTGCTCTGATTCTCTTCTCTGCCCAGCCTGTAGCTGTGCCTCGGATTGCTCCGACCCAGGTGTAGGACCTTGCAGTTGGCATGTTTAAAGTTCATGAGATTGACATCAGCCCACCTCACAAGCATGTCAAGGTCCCTCTGGATGGCATTCCTTCCCTCCAGCGTATCAACCGAACCACACAGCTTGGTGTCATCGGCAAACTTGCTGAGGGCGCGCTCAATCCCACTGTCCGTGTCAGCGACAAAGATGTTGAGAAAGACTGGTCCCAACATCGATCCCTGAAGGACACCACTCGTTACTGGTCTCCAGCCGGACATTGAGCCATTGACCACAACTCTTTGCATGCGGGATGTCAGGTCTTCCTTGAGATCAGCTCATGAGGACGTTCCACTGCATACTTGTTGCCATTGCAAACAGCGCTAAGCTTCCTCCCAGGCTTGCAGCTGAACCCTTATTAATGTGTGTTTTAAAAATACTCTTCCAGAGCTCTCTCCAAAGCAGTCCTTGTCTGTATGGCCTATAAAAGAACTCGGCAGCACGCTGACTGCTTTTCTTTCCTCATGCTCCCTGCATCTGTGACAAATGTATGTCATTTTCCTCGTCTTCCATTTAGCTTTGAGTCTCTGAATCAGAACACAGCACCCTGCACACAGGATCAAGATCGAGGCTGCTGTTCTCTACTACAACAATAATAAATGTTAGGGTGGCCCGCACTCAGTCTGCTGTATGGTTTTCATTGCTCTGGGCTGAGGGAGTTTCACGATGTCCTTTTCGAATATGGGTGTGCACCTGAACTATTTTCAGGGTTTTTTGTATTTCAGAAATCCTCAACTAACATTTTCCTTTACAGGTGTACTCCTGGTAACGCCTGACAGAGCTAGCACCATTGTTGGGGTTGTTCTCACTTCCCATAACTGAACAATGAGGTTACTCATTTCATGCTGGTTTCTGGTTTGTTTTATTTTTCATCCATCTCTTTCCTGCAGGAAAGAGCAATTTATATAATGATTTCACTGTGGAATTGACTTCAGGCTTTACTGCTATTTGTCACCATTTAGGAAATCCATCCCTGGCTCCAGGAGAACACTCAATTCCTGCTGACAGTCTGGAAGAGGGTGGGAAAATAGCAGAGCTGCAGCTATTGAGACCAACAGGCAAATATTTTATTCCACCTTAATTTTCCCTTCCCAAATTACTTCTAAAGATTTTTTTCCTCTTTGTGAGAATGCAAATGAGGGCTGGTTGGTTGTTTCTTTTCCTGGGGACTCTCCTATTCATCTTCTTCCACATTTCAGGCAGTGGAGCTTGCAGCAGTGACAAGATGTAATCCCAGGTAACACTGCTTGTGCCCATAGCCTTGGTTAACCTGCTGGCAACAGTACTTGCCTGGGCATGGGGCAGCTGGCTTTTCACACAGCTCAGCATGGATGTGCTGCCACTCCCTGTCACTTTTAGGACACAGATGAGTGGAATTGTAATAAAGTTGTTCTGCCTTTCTGAGGCTACCAATGTCAGGGGCCTTTCTCTTCCTTGGCAACTGCAGGAGCCTCCTTCTTTCAGCTTCACACCTTTATCAGCTAAAAATGTTAACAGTATGGAACTGGTTGCCTTCAGGCTCTTTCTTTAAAGGACTGGCTGCACTGCTACCCTGTTGTGGCTTTTGAGGACTGGAAGATCAGAGAGGACAGTGGGAAGTAGAAGGCTTCTCCCTCTTTTATGCGGGATGGAGGTAGGCTATGCCCTTGTATGAAGTTCAGCAGAGAAAAACTTGGGCTCTGCTTGCATTCCTACATACCGTGCCATACCAGTCAGCCTGGTACTAATCTTCATGGATCTTTGAAGGCATGAAATGACATGCAGTGTAAATGAAACCCAAGCCACACCATACCCGATCATTGGTGCCAGCCAGTTTTAGAAGGCTGTCTTGTACCACTTGCAGGCATGCAGATCTGCAGTGCTCACACAGCATCAGAGTCCAACAGCAATGTGTGGCATGTAAAAGGCTGGTGAACCCACAGCCACTTAGGATTGAATGCACTTTCCTGGGGAGGAAGTGGCTTTTCCCTTGGAAAGCTCAAGTCCCCAGGGCCTGCGTGAGGTCAGTGGAAAAAGTGATCTCTTCAGAATACGATTCATAGTGCCTGAGCACAGGCTTATCTTATTGACTACAGAGGAGGCTTAACCTCTGTAGAGTTAAACTAGCTTTTGTGAATACCCATCCCCTCTTGCTCCTTTATTGTGGGAATTATGCTAGTCCTGGGCATGGTTAGTCCTTAGTAAGGCACGCTGCCTCTGGAAATTCAGGTGCTGCACACCCTAGCTAAAAGAAGCTTGTGCACCACAGAGCACAGAATGTCCTGTTGCATCCTGCTTGGTCACTTCGAGTTACCCTGGGATGTCAAAAAAGGTTAGTTTCTTTAGGGATGGCCTGGCTGTAATCAGCATCTGTTTCAGCTTAGCTGGGTTTTTCATTCCAGCCTTTCTTTCCTTTCAATATAGAGACAACTGAAGCCTTTAATTTGCCCTTGTCTTTCACTGCAGAGAAAAGTAGGAGTTTCTAACAGCTGATACTATCCTGTCTAGAATATCTACACTAAAAAAATACAGTTTATTTTCTGCTGTGAATGAAAAGCTCTTGCTTGTTTCTGTTGTTGGTAGTGTTGACTTTGAAAGATAAATTGTTTGAACTGGTTGACTCTCTGTTTGTGTAATTGAAGATTAGCTTGCTTGATAGCCTGCTGGATTTGCAGTTTTCCCTTGCACTAGATAAACTGCAGAGCTGCCGGCCCCGGGGCAGTTAGGACACAGCACATATTTGAAAGGTTTG